CTTCCGGGTGTGCACCAACCCTAATGCTTCCGGAAGTACAACCTGCTTCCGGGTGTGCACCAACTTTGCGGAGGATTTTGGCCACTGCGACTTTGAAAGCAGGTTGTACTGACCACACTTCATGGGTCAAGACCACAAATCCGCCAATATGCCAAAGAAAATAGACCAGCAGGATCCAGACAGATGTCAACCTGTGGTGTTGGGATTTTCCTTGCCCAATCCGAGCAACCAAGCATGTTGGGAAGGATCAGCCTTGACTCATTCCTGCAGGGCGCTGGTGTCCTGCTCAGCATCGACTCCCACGATGGGACCCAGGTCATTTCACCGATTGTGGAGGCGACACGGGACGACGAAGTGACAATTGGTGATTCGTGATGACCAACGCAGACCTTGGTGGTGGTGGTGCTGGTGGTGGTGCTGGTGCTGGTGCTGCTGCTGCTGCTGGTGGTGGTGGTGGTGGTGGTGGTGGTTGCAGATAGTTTCATTGTGGGATGGAGTTGAAGCCAGCAAGCAGACACCTTGCCAGTATGATTTGGCTGCTGGCTGAATGACTTTGTGCCTAGGCTGTGAGCTTTTTGCGCAGGCAATGGCCAGATGACCATTCAAACATGGACGAGGGGTGATTTGATCGATCTAATCTAACTGTTCTTGCTGATGCAGGAGCCCTCCATGGAAGATGAGGAGACCGTGATCTTAGAGACAGGACCAGGACGGTAATGGGGTTGAGGTTCAATCAGTGAGAATCGAGTTTTGACTACCTAGAATTGATTCTTCATCGTACATTTTGGTGCTGCAATCGCACTGTTTGTCGGTTCTGGAGTGTTTTGCGCGCAGAAGTTGAGACTTCCCCTCAAAAGCACCACCAAGGCTGCTGTTTGCTCGATGTCAGGCTTTGTGGTGCGATATCCCCCAATCCTCAATCACTGCACCACTCTACAGGCGATTGCCAACTCCCGGAGCCAGCTAACGGACCTGAACTCTCGGAGCCAGTCCTGGTGGCCCGGCTCAGCAAATAATACAAAGGGCATTACTATACTAGTAGCATTCTTACTAGGGGCAAAGGGCATCGCTACTAGGAGCAAGGACGCTACTAGTAGCTCCTGGCATTACTAGTAGCAAGGTTCGCTACTAGGAGCAAGGGCATCGCTACTAGTAGCATTCATACTATTCAGGTCGTTCGCACCCATCCAACCCGGCTTTTCGTTGAACGGTCCAGCGGTCCGGTGACTAGACCGGAGTGGACCACCCTCGGTGTCCCAAGGACAGCGAGCCCAAGGAGCATCCCCTGCCTTCCGAGACCATCCTGGTTCCAGGCTCTCCGCAAGGCCGGAGAGCTGTCAACGGGTTCAGCAGTCAGTAGACTCAGCAGACCTAGATCTAGAAAGAACACGGGATAATATCGTGAGTGATGGAACGACAGAGTTTACTTTCCTGCCGGTTTTCTGGAATTGGCTGAACTTTGGAAGAGGGGCTCATGCACTTGTTCGCCATGTCTCTTGCAGAATGCGAGCCCAGAGGGGCCCTGTTTCATTTTGTCAAGTGAGGCTTTTGATCAAACTCCGACCTTTCAATAGAGATGGTTTGATCACATGCACCTCCAAAAATTTGAGTTCTTGGATCATTCTTGACATCTTCGTAATCCAGACTGCGACGAATTCTATAGCAGCATTCTATAGTCCAACACTGGGCAGAGAGCCGTTTAAGGATGCCCTTGTTGTGTGAATCTCCGAGCCTCGCCACTCCGCTGCGCTCCGTGACGTCAGGGAGCCCCGCGGCCGGAACGAGATCTGGGATTCCGGACGCGGTCTTCCACCAGGCAGGGCCAACTTGGAGCATAGAGCTTAGTGGAAGAGATTGACCCCATGACTTGATGGCAACATATTGCAATGACATTCCATGAGCGGTGCAGAATTCTTGTATATGTTCTTCTATGTTCTTCGTGGTTCCAATTGGTGCAGGGTAGATGTGTTTGTCTTTGTGCGTGTGTTGCTTCGTTTGATTAACGGGCTCGAGCTTTGCGGCTGTGCATTCTGTTTACTTTAATGTCGACGTAGGATTAATCAACCCCCCCTTCAAGGTCAACAAGGTGAACAAGGTTTGGATTGGAGGGATTGGAGACCACATCCCCTTAATAAAGATGATGATGGAGTATACATTGGCTGCACAGATTGCTGCTGGGAAGGATGAGAAGAGCAAGCATAATGATCAGAAATGATTAATGAATGAGAGGATCAGCATGGGAAAAGGGTGGATCAGAATGCTATATCTCAAAGAGATGGCATGAGACAAGGGTGGATTGGAAGATCAGTTTCACCATGGACCAAACGATATTGAATACTAAACAGGTACTGTAATGTAATGAACAAAAAACAAATAGAAAACCATTTTTTTATCGGGGAGCTGGGCTTGATTAATAGGGGGGTTCTGGCAAGGAACAAAAACTATCAGGGGGAGGCTGCAGGGTTTTAATTAGTTTAGTATTGGAGGCTCCAGCTGGGCTTGCTTAATAGGGGGGGTTGGTTAATCCTAGGTGCGCATTAGGAGGGTGGTGCCGGGTGTTCACTGTGCGTGTGCATGTTGCGCTTAGCATGTTTCCCACTTGTTACAGCATGTTGCTTCCTAGTTCTGTAGACGCCGTGCTAGCCCAGGTGCCTCTGATGCCTCCAGGGAGCTTCTTCGACCCAACGGCCTTGCAGCAGTGGACCGAGAAGGCCATGAACCATCCAGGAGATTTGATGTGATGTGTAAGCAGGATTAGGCGGCTAAGATCAACAATCCAAACAATCCTTGATGTTTATATATATATATATTGTTGTTTTATTTGTTTAATTTTATTTGTTGCTTTTGCAACCAAGGCTTGGGGCCAGGTGATTGGGGAACAAACCTCCACAAGCAGGATATGCTTGTTGTGTGGGCACACTCGGGTGCTGGCCTTGCAGAACCCCGAGCGATTGCGTGAATTTCCTTTGCAGTTTTCACTCAGCAGCTTGAGCGGTTCACCTACCTGAACCAGTCAATATGGCTGTGTATTGGAATGGTTTTGGAATGATGTTTGTGTTGCCGGAGGGGTCTATGTTTTGTTTGGTGAAGCTGGCTCATATACCAGGAGGACCCAACATCGCATTCATGTTGTGGTCATTGGATTGTCAGTCATTGGTGTGGTCAGATTGGTACTTTCGGGCAACGTTGGAACCTCTGCTGTTCTTTGTTGCTGCAGCCCAACGTTGGGACTTCCACCGGGTCGTTGCACGAACGGGTCAGGCAAGACTCGACCCACGGAGATTCGGCACGACTCGATTCGGCACCAGGCGAGGGCGGAGTACTCGGAATTGCTCAGTTGGCTCATGAGCCTGAGTTCCTGGAATGGATCGTTGTTTGGAACGACTCAAACAACAAAGTTGGGCTGGGATCGGAAATGAGGGCATGTTTGAAGGTTACAGGGGATTTTTAGTCTATAGAGTAACGATACTATATACATCAGTTGGAAATTTGAGAGGTCTATGTTCAAGTTCTTTTCTTTAGAGTCAGTTAGTGGTGATTTTGGTTTTGGGAGAGGAAACTCCAATCTAACTTTACGATGTAGACGGGCTATGAACATTGACATTTTCCTTCAGTAACCCTCAATTGGAGCTTTGTGTGTGCCCCTGCATTTATAGTGGCCGCATTTGTGAGACACCAGCTACCTGCAGTTGGATGACGTGGCAAGTGGCATGAGAAGGCAACACATGTTCGCTGTTGGCTGAAGTTGGCCCTAACCAGTTTTGTCAAGAAGGTTCCCGTGCCGGGGTAGTCCAAACTTGTGCGTTCGAAAACTCCAGCTAGGGCGGGTGTTTCCCTACATATGTTCCATTTCAATATCCTCATATATAGTTACTCTTCACAAGAAGCAGGAATAAGTTATTTGTTGCGTTACAACTCATCACATTCTCTACTAAGCATCTCAGCTCTTTGAGGCCCTTTGGGATGTGATGATGCCGAGAGGCTCTTGCAGGAACATCAGGAGTGGCCGTGGTGGAACAGTGAAAAGAGTGTTTTGATCAAGCGACAAGCCCCCGGATCACGGAGAAGACCGTCCTGTGAGACCATGACACCGGTGTTGAGGGCGAGCAGACCGTACAACCGTAAATCAGGCTCGAAAACCTACGGTCTTTGGATCTCGCGGCATTGGCTTTCGCAGAAGCAGGCAGTTTGGGGCAGTTTTGTATAAATTCATTACAATTCATTATAGATATTCATATGAATAGCATTGTTTGAAGTGCTGATCGTGACGAGTTCATATGTATACAATGCAGAGACGCAAGCGACAGATGCTGCAACTCTAGAGACCTTCCTATACCGGGTAGAATGAGGGTCGGCGGTGGCGTGCCTTTCTTCGGTTTGCTATACCGGTCTTTCCGTTTGCACCGTTCTTCCAAGTTTCGGTCAGTTGGTGTAAAAGTTCTGCCGCATGGCCCGTTTTGTTTGCCCACTTGGGTTGTTTTGCATGTCACAACTGCCACATGCATCACTGGGTGGTCGGGGTTTCAGATATTTTTGTTGTCAACCTTATTTACTTGCGGTGATTGAACACAATGAGTGGAAACCACAGATCAGCATGCAAGGATTCTGTGTCACCCAGTTGCCAGTTGGACCATCCAAGATGGAATTCATATGTCCAGCTTTCAGTGCTTTCAGCTTGTGCACTGCATGCTGACATTTGTGTGATGTGTGTGTGTGTCTACTCGCCCACATAGGGTGGTGTTTCCTTGTACGTTCCAGATCTTTCTTCGCTGTACTTGGGCCTTCGCAACGTTTCGGCCCAAGGCTGTAGGTGGAAATTGTGATGGCATCATGGTGTTTGGCATTCCGGCCTAACTTGGTGACGGAGGATTTGCTAGGTCTTCGGTTTTGATCTCAATGGGTGAATGGGTGTCGCCCAGTCAACCCCCCCCCGTCCAAGCAGCTTGGCTTTACCAGAGCCTCCCAGAACACTAGGATTTACCACGGCACACTTGGAAGAACTCCGATGGATCCGTTGGAGGAACTCGGGTCTCGGATCCGGAGCACCGTGGCGCCATGGAGCTAGAGATCGATGCACGGCTACGAGACTCAGTTCGGCTGCGTGGCGAAAACGGGGCGCTTCGGCGTGTTGAAACCGCAAAGGAGGACTGATGAGTGGTGCATGTTTGGTAGACCAGTTCTTTTTGGGCTTGGTTTTCTGAGATCTCCTGAGTGGAGTTCATTGGTAGGGCAAACGTCGACCTTTGTCAAATCAAGTTGTTCACTCACGGTTGGTACCAAAGCCCTTTGTTCCACGGAGCCATCGCCAGTTGCACCATGTAGGCTGACCACCCACACCGGCTGACTGAGCTTTTAACAGCAAACTTCATTGCAAACTGACCATCCGATGGCAGGCTTTGCTGCTGTGGCCTTGTGCTTGCTTCCGGGTGTGCCCTGGTCTAATCCAAGTGAGAGGGCTCAGCTTCCAGATTTAATTACTGTCTTGAAAGGATCATAAGCGGGCCTTTTTCCTACTCTTGAGAACAAAAGCCTTCAGGTGTTCACACCTCTATTCACAGACTCCCCCTCTGTCGCTCTGACAGATTCGGACGAAAAAAGGTCCAAAAAGGAGGCTCAAGGCTTTGTTGAAAGGCTTTTTGCCTTATAGTACTCGGCCCTCATCTTCTCGATGGACCAGCCCTTTCCAGAATGCGCTTTCTGGAATTTGTTCCACGGATTGGTCGGGGATGGCGACCTCTTCCGACCTCCATGGTGGCTGGTCTGAACCACCGCGCGGTGCAAGCGCTCGGATGCCTCCATCGCCTTCTCGGCGACATGTCCAGCCACAATCGCCTGTTCGGCGGCTTGTTCAGCTGCATGCGCTGCTATCTCAGCGCTCTCGGCGGCTTTCCCGGCCTCATCAGCAGCGGCACAAGCTGCTTGGACCACACGCTCACTCGGCAAATCCAGCGATCGACTTGAGCTGGACCCACCACCTTTCTTCTGCCCCATAGTTCTGGCCATAGAGCTCCTCAATCTCAAACCCCTTTCTCCACTCTTGGTTTGAGCTTCCAAGGTGGTTTCTTCTTCACTGCTGGGGCTATTGTCAGCCTCATCTTCTGTTGGTGAAGCTTCACCAACCCCTTTCTTCCTTGTAGTAGAGCTCCTCGATCTTGGTCGCCTTGAGGGCAATGGTGTGGTTATGACCCCTTCCTCAAACTCCAGCTCATCCCCTGAAACGTGCAGCTTGCTGGACAGCAATTGCAATCGACGGAGGCAACAATGCACCGAAGCGCAAATCGTCCTCGCAACCCAGATTGCCCCTATCACTATCAGCACTAGGCCACACAGCCAGAGGTTGCCGAAGGTCTCGTCAGAGCCGGCACCACCATGCGCCTCTGCGGCTTGCACTAGCAAACCACCGGCCAACAAGGCCCGAAGAGCCACTTGGTGTTCTTGAGGCTGTGGTTGAAGCGGCTGTCCCCCACCCACCATTCTCTTCACTTGAACTTCACTTCGCAAGCCCAAGTCCTGCTGGAATCCAGTGAAGCTTTGACCCACGAGCGGCTTGGTCATGCCGTCTGCCACGAGCTCCGTGCCCTTCAAGTGGATGAGCTTCCAAGGGCCACCAGGAAACAGGCTTTGTCCTTCCAGAGCTTCTCTGAGGATATTGGAACGGACCCTCAGATGCCTCGTCCGCCAAGAGGTGGCGGAGTTTCCATGGGCTAACCCTATTGCGGCAGCATTGTCACCATAGATCACCCTTTCAAAAGTGTTGCCCACGAGCTGCTCCCCCCACATGGCACACAACAAAGCCTCGGTGGCTCTACCAGCATTCAAGGCCTCGCAATAGGAAACCAGCTCTGCTTCTGCGGTGCTGTGACATACGAAAGGTTGGGTCGAACTCTGCCAAGCCACCGGTGCACCAGCAAAGCATAGTACCAGGCCTTGCATGCTCTTGTGACCGTTGCCAGTGCCATAAGCTATATCAGCAAACACTTCAAGCAGCTTTTCGTGGCGCTGAACCTTGAGTTGGCTTCTGGCTCCCCATGGGTTGTGCATGTACCTGGGGTAGTGAAGATCTCCAGGTTTGTGCTTCACGTAAGCCAGGAGTTCATGGCCAATTTCAATCGCCTTGGCAGGGTTTCTGGTGACAAGCCTGCTCAAAGCTGCGACGCCATAGGCCAGATCTGGTCTTGATCTTGTTGACAACCAGAGAAGTGATCCGGCCAAGGCTTGTGCTTCCTTGATCTGGTTGCGATTGATGTCAGGCTGCTGTTCTCCATCGGCCTCGCTGACCTTGAAGTTTGGGAAAGCAGCTGCACGAGTGACTTGCCATCTGGCGAGGATTTCTTGCTCATACTTGTTCTGAGCGATGTGGTACCCATCTCCATCAACATCAGGGGCAATCTCAAAGCCACAAAAATGAACTGGATTTGTGCTGGAAGCCCATTCGATGCTGGATGTGGCCCACGTGGCTCGCAGAGCATCCAAAGCAGCTGAAATGCTCCCCTCTTCACCTGTCAGCAGGATGTCATCGACGTACACGGACATCAAACCTGACCAAATGCGTTCACCAGAGATCGAATCCACCTCCTCCAACCGCCAGAGATTTTCATCAGCGGTCTTGCAGAAACTCCCCCGGACTTCACGATCTCCTTTTTTCCTGGTCCATGACATCTGAGGCAGCTTCGTGTCTCTATACTGTGACCAATCACGAGGTGATGTCGTCAGGCCGTACATGGCCAATTTGACCAACCAAACCTCCCCTTCTCTTGCAAGTCCCAATCGCCGGTAGACGGATGGAATCTCCATTGCAACCAGCTTTCCGTCTTCCCGACGAGGAGCGTTCAAAAAAGCGACACGAATGTCGGTTGCTGCCATGGCCCAGCCTTTCAAAGATGCCGTTCTCACTAGGGCTCGTACTTGGCAACCGTCAGCACCACCCGCGTAGCTATCAGCATCAAAGCGGGTTTCAGAATAGTTGCCACAACATACGGCACGGGCTCGGCGAGCACCAGTACCAGCTTTTCTGGTGTACACCATCTTTGCAGGGAGCAATTCAATGGTCTTGCCTTCACGGGCAGCACGATCATGAAGATCTTCTTTTGTAATCTGCTCCACTGCCCTTTTTGTAGTAACCAGCTGGGTGTGCTCAGCCGTGATTGATGGAGTCCAGTTTTCGAAATCATCCAGGACTTCCCGAGCGGCCACTGTCTTGGTGACCAAGAATTCTTCCTCCATCTCTTTCTGCTCTTGCAGGTGGTTGTTGTGGTCACAATGCAAAAGCTCCTCTTCTAGTTCGACTTTGTTCATGACGGCATTTGTCAACACCTCCATGTATGACCCTTGATCAGGGTTCGTGATGTCCAGATGGCCAATCTCTTCACCAATGTAAGTGGCCAAGTTCGCCTGGACGGAACGGATGAACTGGACCCTCGTGAGAGGAATGTTCCCAGGTGCTTCATCATCTTTTGGGGCCACCAGGCTTGAGCCACCGCACTGGTTGTTAGGCGCCCCCTCCTTCTCCCCTCCTCCGGACGAGTCCTCCACCATAGAAACCGAGCTTTGAGTTTCAGCACCCTGGGAACCCCCTTCACACGAGGCCTCCCGCTCAGGGGTTTCGATGGTCCAGCTGTCACTGCTGATCTCGACCTGGAAGAGCTCCGGATTGTTGGGACTGCAAGCATCAAACAACTCCCGATGTCTGCAAAGCCAGTTTTGGCACCAGGCATCCTCCCCTTCCATGTGTAACATGGATACTTGTGGGATTGCCGTCTTTTCAGTGAGCCGTCGACGAGGAACTCCATCTTGCCACGCTGGTCTTCTTGGAGGATCGGACAACACAGGAAGATGGACCAGGGCCTCGTCGGCTTCAGGTTGATTGGGACTGGGGACCACAACATCATCCGTGTAGAAGAACCTTTTTGTCTCCAGGGATTGCACATAGTAACTTGTGGTCGTCATGGATGACTGCAATGCGGGACCAAGCACCACCACCTCATCTCTGATTTCACGCCATGGCTGGTAACGATCCTGCCATGATTTCTTCAGGGCGTAGGCCCGGGAGCCAAATCTCAGCAGAGGGCCTATTGGGAAGCCCAGACTTCGAAGTTGACCCCGAAGACGACGTTCTCCGATGTGGGTTGCAGCAAGCGGCCACATCTCAAGACCAAGGCCTGTAGTGGTGAGCACTGTGCGAACATGCTTCTTAACCACTCCCAGTTCACCCTCAACACGGCCATTGGATTTGTAGCTATCACCGGATGTCAGCGTTGTTGTGATGCCCCGATCCAGAGTCCAACGACGCACCGGTGCTGAAATCAACTCTCTCGCCCTGTCGCAATGGAGCCTGTACAGAGGAAGTCCTAGGCCCCGTAACTTGGCGTAGATCTTCGCCAGGGCGGGCAAGATGTGGGTCACCGCACGGCCTGGGAGCACCTCAACGAAGGTCAAATTTCGCACCATGACATCCTGGGCATCCTCGATGGTTTTTTGCCATGCCTCAAAAGCTTCATGCCCCTTTTTTACAGCCCCACCATCTTTTTCTCCATCATCCTCCCCCGGAATCTCATGCGGTTCTTCACCCAGCATATCATCTCCAGGATCATCACCGCCTGGTTCGGTAGGAGTGTACTCTTCAGCATCAATGGATGGAGGCTCCACTGCCGCTGACCCCGGTTGTGCGAGGTCTCCACATTCAACCTCCGCCAAAGCTCGGCCAGATCCATCCACCGGAAAGGTGTAGACCGCCACCATCATGTACTTGCAATCCTGTCGATGTTGATCTTGGCCGATCACCATCTTGCCAGAAAGATCCACACTCAAAGTGTATGCTTCTGGGTGTGAAATCCTTTTGTGTGGCTTGCTGCGAGCAGCGGATCTGACGCAATGTTTGCAATCGCGTCTAGCTGGCATGTGGTCATTGAGGTAGTGCTGGCGCCAGCCATCCAAAGCCACTTGGCCTAACGGACGAAGGGCAGCTTCCAAAGACGGCGTTGAGCCACGATGGAGATGGTCTTGCAAGGCCAACACTAAAGCAACTTTCAAGCCCGGGGCCCATGCGGCCCATTGTTTGGACTCAGCGCAACGCTCCTGCATGGTCATTTGGTTGCGATCAGGAGCTGGATCTTCTGGTTGGACACCACTTGGCGGACCGCGAACTTCATTCAACACTTGAAGGTCTCGCATGACAAAGGCCAGCGAAGTGGGCTTTTTCTTGATGTGGCCCATTGGACCTTGATCAAAATTGATCAACTTGACCTGGTAGGTCGTGGCGAAATCTTGCCACTCCTTGGTGCGCCATATGGACATGAATTGCTTCCGCCGTACCTCTTCTTCCGGGCGGTACTTGGCGGGGTCTTCAGGCTGCTCGATGGCCAAGGCTGTCTGAGGCTCCTGAGGAAGGCGAACATCTTCACAAAGGACGTACAAGGCCAACATTCGGAAGAGCAGCACACTGTCTCCATTCACCAGCTCCGCATCCGAAGGAGACAGAGTCGGCAGGCCATACGGATATTGTTCCGTCCGCAGGATGCCAGGACCGCCATCGTCTTGGTATCGGAGTGCCGACACCGTCCGGCAAGGTGGCCCACCCACCAGGGCCTTCACTCGGCCTGAGGCCGCCAACGACAGCAGGAACCGGAAAACATGATCATCATGAAGATCTGCTGCAATGGGGGCTTGCAAATCAATGCACAAGACTTCAACACCATCCCGCTGCAAGGTCTTCTGCCAGTAGTCCGTGTCAGGGCCCGAAAACAAATGCAGGACAATCTGCTTTGCCTTGTCCAGCCTACGGCGTTTCCGCCGATTCCATGGAAGAAGGTGTCCATCAAATCCCTGATGTAGTGACGTCAGGTCAGGGATGATCCTCATCAGGATCTCATCAGGCAGGGCTGGAAACAGGGCCTTCAATTTCACCGTCAAGGCCAACTCCGTCGAGTCTTGAAGAGAGGCCAAATCGCTGCTCTGTGGACTTTCCAGCAGCGCTTTCACCAGCAACGCCTTCTTGATGACATGATTCTGGCGCCGCTCCAACTGATCAATCATCTCTTGGCCCACCGCCCGAGTGACCATTGGACACCCATGCTGAACCGTCACTGTGAGTTCTTGGCCCCTTTCATCACGGAGACCACATAGGCTTCCTTTCCATTCAAACTTGTACCCCAGCTCGGCGATGCCACCCAAAGGCACAATCCAGGACTTGCCCATCGCCTCGTCCTGAGGGTCCGAGAGCAGGACCTTTGATGAAGGCTTCAACCGAAGCTTGGATGTGATGCCATCAGCTAAAGTGACCTGAGTGGGTGCTGCCTCTTGCCATTCCTGCCAGGTCTTCGCTGGTCGTAAGGCATGTGTGGCACCGGAGTCCAAAAGCACCAGGTCACCTGCTTCATGCTCGAGCTGGCTGATCTTGATGACGCGCAGTTGTGGGACACGGAGGGACTTCAGCAATTTGGTCGCTTCCTGCAACAAAGCCTCACTTGTTGTTGAGGTTGCCCCGGTCTCACCCCCTTTTGATGCCCCTTCATTGGACTGCGAATCTGGTACTTGTCCTCCTCCATCAGAGCACACCTCCATCTCCTGCACCTTGATGGGAGCTTGGTTGGCTGCAGTGACGTTGGACGAGGATGATGATTTTGAAGCCCCTTTTCCTCCCCCTGAGCCCGAACCGGGCTCACCACTGTTCTTGCCATCCTTGTTGTCTTTGGCAGGGGAAGGTTTTCCTTGTGACTTCAATCGACATTCTGTTTTGCGGTGTTCTTTGCTGCCGCAAATCCAACATCGGGCATTTTTGTCCTCAACGCCCTCCCAGCTGTGTGACCATTTGCAATTCCAGCCTTGCAGCCAGCATCCGACCGAAAATACCGGCATGGTGTGGAGGTTGTAGAGACCCCTGCATTGCCACCCTTACCCTTCTCCCCTGTGCCAGCACCCGAAGTTTGTTGCTTCTGTGATGCTTCCAACTGTTTAACTTTGATGGGCGAAGGTGTGGTAGGTGGAGCATTGATCATCAACGACAATGTTTCAGCTTCAGCCAACAAACACTGACTAAACCTCCAGATACTTTGGTGGATAGGCTGCTGATCAATGGCCAACTGCAAACGACTCTGAGCCAGTCGAAATGACGCTTGGGCGTCAAGCGAAGCCACCAAACTGCAAGCAGGCTCTAAGGCCTTCAACAACAATGTACCGTCCGGCAGCACCGCCTCAATCTCTTGAGCCCTGGCAAAATGACGACGCCAAGAGCGGAGAGATGCAGCCAAATCAGTGGCTCCTGTCGCCTTGTCCAGCGTTGTCAACTTGGCCAAAAGAATCGCCTTCTCTCCAGAGCCGCCTGGTTGGTAGCGGACCATGAGGCGAAACAAAAGGGCTGTTGAATTCAGCTCTCTGGCCGTGATCAAGGCCTGTTGCTGGTCAGCAGGGATGGCACGCAACAGCAAGTTCACTCCTCGCTGCTCTGTTCGCTGGTAGCAGCTGTCATACAACTCGTCGGGAAGGCGAGGTGCAATCTGAACTCTTTCCAGCGGAGACGAAGTCTTCCAGCGATCATAAAAACACTGAGCTTCACGCAGGGTCAAATTCCACCATCGAGCACTGACCGACGAAAGGTCCCGAAGCACGGGTCCATTGACTGCAAGCCAGTCACCGAGCTCCAAAGGCGATGCATCAGCTGCCAACTCTGCGAGCTCTGCCTTGCTATTGCCACCGCCTTCGCCCCACGGCAAAGGCATTGGTGAAGTGCCACCATCACCCGGCCAACGACCATAGTGCGGCTCACCCCGCTCTCGAAGCTCCGGACTGGGTTTTCGATTCCCATAGTGACTATCCCCAACTTCACCAGGGGAAAAACGATCAAAAACACGATCCACCCCAGGCCGACGGTCGGAACCCCAACCATAACCCTGGCACTCCGAGCCACGATGAAAGCCAGCTTCATGAGACGAAGTGGGAGGCACATCTTTCGAGCAAGCTGCTGATTGCGCCCAGCTGGCCCCTTCTCGCATGCGCTCCAAATGTTCAGCCCGAGGTTCTGGAGGAGCGAAAGGCACAAATGACTTGCCTTCACGCAAATGCAGCGGCGCCCACTGAGAGTCCTGTCGCCGCTTCATTTCCAGCGACTCATAGTCCTGGAACATAAATCCAGCCGAGGCACTCTGAATTTCTGCCGAGACACTAGTTGGGAACGGCGGTACAGGTGGTGCAATCACTTCAGGCGGTGGAGGTCCACACGGAATTTGCGTTCCGTTGGGGGTGTACCGAACATGGTGTCCAGAAGGAGGCCTTCGTGTAGTAGGACTTCTCCCCCGTGGAGTGCTAAGCGAAACTTCCCCACCATGAACCCTATTGGAAACACCACCAATCAAACGATCATCATGACCAGAGGGGCCCACACCACCATGAACATGCTCATGAGCACCGTCACCACGAAGCCCATCACCTGTTCCCCCATCAACCGTTTCCCACGACGAGGGAGTGGACATAGTACCCATGGGTTGCTGCTGTTGGAGGCTTCTAAGGCGCTCTACTTCAGCTTGAAGATGACTATTTTGCTCCCTCAAAAATAGCACCATTTCTGCTTCAAAAGCTCGTTGAAGACTTTCAGGGTCCTTCTGAGCCACCTCACTAGTTCCAGTGAGCTTGACCTCAGGGGGCGATTCCTCAGGCGGCACCGGCCCCATGGAGCGATCTGGCCGACGATCAACCTTTTGTCCTGGCTGACCCTCCTCCGGCATTCGACCTTCAGTTTGGCGAGCTCCCCCACCACCGCGACCTTCCGATCTGTGGCCATGGCTATGGCTCGGAGGTGTCACGAACCCACGTCCTGACAGGCGCTCAGCCGCTGAACCGCGGCCTTTGCCAATCCGACCACCCGTGCCTTCAAGCGGCACCGCCTCCGGACCTTCCACCGGCCCTTCCAGATCCTCGTCGCCATCGCAGGGAACCGCTGGCAGAGTTTCTGGCCGTTTGCTTCGAAGCTCAACCTCGTCCCGAATTCGTTGGGACCACCAGGGATTTACCATGTCGTAGGACCCTGGGGGCATTGAACGTGCCCTTTCCATGGCGAAGTCAGACGCCGAAAAAACGCTTTGGGCTCATAACCCTTGAAAGGATCATAAGCGGGCCTTTTTCCTACTCTTGAGAACAAAAGCCTTCAGGTGTTCACACCTCTATTCACAGAACTGTAATCACATTTGACCACCTCACTAGTTGCAGATGAACTCACCACCATCCATCACCTCAACTCAACTCTCAAACTATTTGGATCTATAGATTTTACTGTTTGGTGAGTTCTTTATTTTGCCAGCACGGGCAACCTGTTCGTCTACCTTTTGGTGTCATTGTCGGTGTGTTCCTACAAAAGACCCCGCTTACATCCGCTTACAGGCTTACAGCATCTTACATCATTTTAGTTGATAATTATATATATATACACATGCCATACACACACATACATGTAAATATATTTACACTGTATATATAATGTTGTGCCAAGATTGACATATTGAACTGTTGTTCGCTTCAAGGACTGGAAGAATTGGAAGAGATTTACCTTCCATCCGATGGACGATCCAGCCAGCAACCGTTCCCCCCGCCGGAGGTGAAGGGCTATAAGTGAAGATCGGTGTGAGGTGATAGGAGGATTGGAGCACAGGGCCGAGATCCATATGCCATTTGAGGCTAAACACAAAAGCCATCAAGAGTCTAATGCATTCTAATACATAACATGCACTGTATCATGTTGACAGAATATAACATGCATTATTGAATATATATTTATATATATTTATGTAAAACATATACATATTAATGAGGACGTCCTCCTCATCAGCACTGTGGATTTCTTTCGATATCCTAGTTCACCAGGTGAGTTGCTCCGCTGAAGCCAGAGGTCTTGGGCCAAGGGCAGACCGTGCCGTGCATCGATGACTGCCTCGCTGAAGCTTTGGCGAGTGTTCCGACCAAAGGATGCGCAGCAGGCGAGCGTGCGAGTGGGTGGTGTTGGCAAAACACCTTTCTGTTGAGGGAGAGTCAGAAGTGAGAGGACAGATCCCCAGCTTGTTGATCCAAGGATGTCCAGGGTTTTCAGCCTTTCGTTTTCAATTCTTGGCTCTCATCAGGCACCTACTGGCGACCCTATCCAGAGAGCAGCCCGGTGGACTCCTGTCAGCCTTGTCCCTTGGGTGCGTACTGCGCCTGGGGCCCAATTCGGCTTTGACATTTTTTTGTTTCAAGCCAAGACACGTCTCGTTCAGCTTTGTGTGTGTGTGTCTGTTGAATTGTGTTTCTTTGTTTCTATTTTAGCTTGCGGTGGTAGGTCCGGGCATCGCGTATGGCAACTTCACAGAGCATCCAGTGAAGCTTGGTTTGAGCACATGGGGTGGGCTTAGATATTTCATGATATTTCATTTGACTTGTGGAAATCCAGATTCATGTCATGTCAAGCATTAAATTTGTCTGTCATGTTAACTTTTACTGTATAGTTGTAGTTATCTCACCGCACACCTGGCGGAAGAGCAGCAGTGTTGGTGATGGTGCTGGTTGTGCTGCTGATGCTGGTGCTGGTGCTGGTGCTGTTGTTGTTGTTGTTGTCGTCATCGTCGTCGTCGCTTTTGTTGTCGTTGTCCTTCCTTTGCTTCAACCCGTGTTTGTGCGCAAGCTTTGCTTGCCCAACCACATTGCCATGATTTTGTGCCGCATACTGGGAGGCATATGCAAAATATGTTACTGAGCTTGATGCAACTACGATAGACCAGAAGCAGGTTCATGAAGACCAGCTTTATATAATCAACTGTCTTGAGTCTTGCAGGCACCCCTCTTCCGGCCACGGACTCTTCGTGTGACTCTCCTGGAAAGTGTGTACAGGGGTCCATATAAACCACCTAACTTGGGGATGGTGCCATCTACTCTAAAGCCACTGTATATATAATATATAGGTGATTATAGGGTGTGTGTTTTTTGCACATTATATAATGCTGCTAAGCATGAAGCGCCAGGAACAACATCTCTCTCGCATCCCTCCCTCCAGTGAGGAATCTCAACCGCCGGATCCTTTGTCCGACTGGCACCTTCAGGACGGTTCTTTTGGGGAGATTTCGGTTGATCGATCTAGGTAACTAAATAGCAAGCGCGAGAAAACGTGAAAGACCTGGCTTGTGATGAAAAGAGCAATCTAAGAAGATGTAAGAAGTATGTGAACTATTCTGAGGCCTCTGCAACAAAGGTTACATATGTGACCATATGTGACACATTATTGTTTCATCATTGCATGCTTCGTTTGGATTGAATCATGCTGAACCACACTTCAGCTACGCCAAACGAAGCAGACGTTTGGCGGTGCCTTCTTGAGGAACATCACAGGTGGAAGCACGCTGGAGGACTGTGAGCTGTGCCATCCTGGTTACTTCAGTGGCTCCTTAGGGCTCACGGCCTGTGAGAACTGCCCGGCTGGACGGTATTCAATTACCTCTGGTTCCTCCAAGTTGGGCGACTGCTCCTCGGTCATTTGCAGATGTGTCATGTGTGTCTAATTACATTTCCCAGTGCTTTGATTCTGTGAAAGGTGATGTGCATGGCCCTTAGCGTGCACGTGTCATGCCATAAGAGGTAGTCTGGAAGCGGAGGTTTAGAAGCGGAGGTTCATGGGTTGGCCGATCCTTGGGGTACAGAGTCCCGCCGTTTTTTGTCGCGAAACACTGCGCGACACGTGGATGTGAACAATGTGAATGTGTGTTTTCACACATTGACCATCCCCTTGACCTTCTCCTGTGACCTTTTCTGTTGATCATGTTTTCGTGCCTACGATTCATTTGAACAGATCATTTCTGGCTTGCCAATATTCCAATAGCAGTGGCAACTGGAGCACCCGAGGCTTGGAGTGCCCAGCAGGACACCATTGCTCTGAAGCGTGGCAAGGGTGTCGGGCCAACCCTCCAGGCACCAATTCTGTTTCATCCAAGAGACTGACAAGTTGGTTTCAAGGAAGAGTTGGATTGGTCAAACAAGTGTTCATGTTCAGTTTCAATCAACACAGCTGGGAAGTTCGTTGAATAAACCTTTCCTGGCACTACGTACACCGTCCCCAATCGGAGAGACAGGGAAAGTGCTTTCAGTTGGTCAGCAATCCACAGACCAATGAGCAATCCACTGCCCTTTTTGCCGTTTTACAGTTAGAGCTCTCACCCTGCAAACCCAAGCCCCGGATGTTCCATGATTTCCAGACAGGCTAGGTGTTTCTTGGGGTGTTGACTTTGTGGGGCATGGGTCAATTGGAGAAACTTCATTGATGTGGCGATCCGACTTTCTCGGTGCGACCTCAGGAAGCTTGTAGTCGACCGGTGCCTTGTCCTGCTGGTAGCTACGCTCCATTGCCGGGCCTCGCGAATGAAACGGATGCTCGGGCTTTTTATGTGGCCACCCATGCCACTTGTCGAGGACGTTTTGAAATCCATGTTCTTTTTCATACTTATTACCCCGTGCTCTCTAAATCACATGAATGAATGAAGGACTTGTTCCATGTTCACGGACTTGTTTTGTATGTATGTATATATATATGTATCAAAATCATTAAATCACCATGCTTCATGTTCGTTTGATTCATATTCATATCATATCCAAATCATTGATTCGTAACGTCATTTTTATTTTAGTGTTTGTGGATATGATATCATTCATATTCATTTTTGGTCGAGTCCTCACCCCTCCGATCGGGTGTGTTTTCTTGCCTCTCGCAGCTTCTCGTCGCCTGACACGTGCAACGGCCGACGGTGCTGAGGAGTGTTTGAATTGCACCCTGGGGCATCCTGGTTTTGCATACGTATAATTTTTTTTGTCAATGCTTTCCTTGTGGACGCATCGGCTAAGCAGGGAATATGGTATGCCTGCTTCCTCCAAATCCAAGGCATTGGTGCCAGATTGGCGCGGTAGAGCCGCTGGGCTGCGCGGCCGGGACCTTTGGGAATTCCACCCGTTTGCGGGGCAACGGCTCAGCGCCAGGCAGGGGAGTTGAAGCAGTGCATCGGCACTCCAGGCCGACTGGTGGTGCCAGCCACGTATGACCAGTGGCCCTCTACAAGTGTTTGGAACTTGGGCTTTGCCTTGGTATGATGTGGGTATTGGGGACATTCCGAGAGCTGGCGAGCTCAACTTCAATCATTTGGCGAGAAATTCAACAGAGTATATTTATACAGTGTCTATATTGGTTCAATCTTAGTGACTCGTATGGCATATGGATCTCCATTTTTAGTGTCAACAGATGGCTGTTGCCATTTACTGTTTCACCTTTGAGAATGGATGTTTGCAGCCGAGGAACATTTGCGTGTGGTCGTTCCCAGTATTAGTAGGACAGCGGAGTATAACTGGTCTTGTGGTAGTAGCCTTGTGGCCAACAGTTAGTCCAGATATGTCCAGACAGCCTGCTCACAGTTTTTGCCCTGTTGAGTTCTTGAGTTTCATGGAGTGATTGCTTGTTCAACGTCATTCAATCATGTCTTGAGGATTTGCACCGAGAGGTGTGAAGGGGGTCTGCGGTGCACGGGTGTGCATGTGTTAATGTACACGCTGCCAACTGTTACAGGATGTTCGAGGCACATTGGGTGGACACTGGGTGTACTAAACTGGCGCTCCCACCCTGCTAATATGCATAACTTGCGTGCCTCTTGGGGTGTCAACGTGGCCTTTCATCAAATTCCCAGCGGGTTCCTTAGCCACCTGCACATCGGATCATGTTGCAATGGCCGCTGTAGAGTATACGCTACAACCCTGAGAAAATAAACACAAACAATCAACATCAATAAACATTCTGATTCTGGCATGCTGCTTGTCATAATTGAACCAGGTTATGAGTGATAGGTTTGCCAGCAGTCTAGTAAACACGTGATAGGATTGCTAAGTTTGTCATGGTTTATCCAAGTAGGTAGGCGATTTATCACGAAAGCTAGCATCAGCTAGCTGGAGTTGCTCTTGCTTTAGCAAGTCAAGGGCTCGCAGCCTCGAGAATCATGAATCACGTGAAAACTTCACGTGTAGGGGGGGGGGCCCCCCCCCCCCGGGTTCAACTCCCCCCTGGGACGCTTCCGGTACGTGCTATAGTGCTATGTTTAGGTTTAGGTGGCAGGTGAAGTAGGCCACTGTTTGAGTTTGGAAGGGGGGGCATGAAACATGAAATTTACGCGAGGGTTCAAGGCTTCAATGATGAGCATCACGGGAAGTCAGAAACCAGGCGTATCAGATACACGTGCCTTTGAGCTTCCTTCGGCATCTCAGTGCATATGGCTGACACTTCACTCGACAAAGATGCTCAAACAAACATACATAAACCAGGTGTATCTGATACGCCTGGTTTGTGACTTCCCGTGATGCTCATGATGCTGCGTTGCTTTTCTTCAGTCCCTCATTACATATACATGACGATGCAACAGCAGATTCAACAAGCTCACATGTTCATGACATCGACATCGATAGAAGAAAGCAAACAAATCATGCAAGCAGCTTTGTTTTGCCTTTGGGACACCTTTTGGGCACCTCTTATGGCATCCACACTGGTTCAACTCCTCCGTGGAGGTTTTGGGATACGGTGCAACAGACTCAACAAGCTCACAGGTTCGTGAACACATCGGATGCATCGAACAGTGTGGCAAAGTCCAGCCACGCTTCCTTAATTATCGGGGCCTTCAATTCTAAGGTTGGCTGTGTCATTGCTGTTTGTGTGTCGTACATGTTCACAACGTTTTACCTCATGAGCATTTGCCTCACTCCGCTTGATGTCCCACCAGTCCGGATGCACCCCTGCTAGCTTTCGTCACCTACCCTCGGCCTCAAGTGTTGCACTTCGGTTCGACGGCGACGGAGGCGCCTTTTTGCCCACACCTTGGACGGACATCACGCCAAGCCACTCGTGAAGATGGTGTCGTCAGACGCAAAATGGCCATGTTTCAAAAGCTCATGACAGGAAGAACCAAAGTGACCCTGCAAAAGAGTGAAGCAGCTGTCGTTTTTGACGGGATGCTAAGCATTCAGCTGTGTCAGGGTGGAGGAGCTGTTTAAGAATTGTTCTATTCACAAGTTACTATCAAAGTCCTAGCGTGTTTGCCACCAGCATGGCTAACCATGCCTAACCTACCATGCCTGAGCGTCCTAACAAGTGTGACTTGAGTATAGTTCCATTTAAAACCACCACGGGAGATGAACAGAAGTGAGAGCAACTGGCTCATTTGGTTGACCAAGTGCACCAACTCAGGTGGCCTCTATGGTACGGACTGCCTCCCTTGCCCAGCCGCCGCCTTTTGTCCACATGCCTCAGTACTGCCCACACAGTGCCCGGCCGGGACCTTCCAAAGCAACACACTGGCGGAATCGGAGGCTGAGTGTGAGACCTGGCATGCAAGCTTCGCACCGCAGTGGCTGACCTGACTACCCAAGTAAAGCATCTCGCATTGGGATCGCCCAAAGAACTGTTGGTTGCACACCGTTGTGTTGTGCAATGTTTTACCTGAAATTCGTGCAGAATCCCCCTCCATCTTTTAACCTCGCGGAGTATGGCTTAGCATTCCGATTCAAGTGTTCCACTCTCAAAGCTGTTGGAGAATGTGGGATCATAAACATGCCTAACCCCAGCCCGGTAGAGCCATGAAGAGCCCTGCCTTATATCCTGAACAACTAATTATCCAATATTCCGCATGCTTTTGTGGAGACGACATGTTGCGAAGTGGTGGCAAATTCCAGATGTTTAAGTGGTGGCAATTGAGCCGTTTGCGTAAGTTTATGATGAAAACAGCAGCCATGGAAATGCCATATGCCCTGAAAACTCTTCAACCTGTTGATATTGAAGCAGACCCATGTTGCAGCTGGCCAAGGAGGAATGCCCCGAGGCAGCCGGGTCGGATGTGGGGCTGGAGAGTTGGACGTTGGCATCATTGAATTGATCTCTTGGGGCTCTCTAGAGGTGTAGCAACATTTAGCAACCACAGAACCTTTTAACTGAGTGGGTGTGCAACAACGGCTGGGTTTCTGTTCGAGCTTCACCTTCTTTGGCGCATGGGGCCAACCTCCTATGCAGGGCTTCAATAGACAAAGGAACCATGCCCGCACGGAGCATTGCAATGATACACTGTCCAAGCCGCATGTGGGCTGATGACAAACGTGGAACTGGATCACTTAGCAGGTCACTGTGCCTGACAACACCAGTTGCGTCAAGTTGTGAATTGCCGCCTCGCTCAACTCTTGGCCATGAGTTGGATGGTATGTAGTAGGATGTGTTGGACCAGCGACAGGCACAAGCTTTTGCATACACTGAGCTGGGCAAAGGAGAAGCCTTCAAGAAGCTTGGGTGTCATGCACCACTTGGATAAGTCTTTCGCTTTGGTAAATCCACCCCTCTAGCCTGGATGAGGGTAACGCTTTGATTCCTCATGTGCTTGTCCAAGTCTTTTTTTGTGATGTTTTTTGCTGACACGGAGGTCATGTTGTGCAATGAACTTTCTCGGCACTCGTGTAGTGTGATATATTTGGGATAGAACATTTAACCATAGTCTAGTGACATGAATCAATGTTTTCATCTACCACCCAACTATGTAAGCAGGATAGCAATGTTGTGCGTTTCATATTTTCTTTGTGGAGGGCTTCAGATGCCGCATGCCCCTGGTGGCCGACTTGGAACAATCCAACGTGGCAAGACTTCCAGACTCTGGGCATTCACCTGGCGCACCCGGATGGATAAATCAGGTGATATCGATTTCATGTTTTGAAACGCATCAGGGTTGCAACTTCTCCTCAGTAGCTGCTGTAGCTGTTGAACCATGCTTTCCATTGGCCCTGCTCATCAGAGTTGGACAACAGGATATAATACGTGAGAATACATGATACTAAAGTGTGTCACTGTAGGAGGTTCAAAAAAATCGATATACAAGCGTAGTGCAGCAGCCAGGTGACCTCCCAAAGTTCATTCTGTCAAATGAAAGCGGTGGTTCCTGACACATGCTTTATGCCTAAAATTGCGTGTGCTTTCAAGGACGGGCAGCCTGTGGCTGGAACTGCAGTACCAGAAGTGTGTGAGGAAGATGAGGTGGGATGTTCGATCGTGCATTGCTTTGCTCTCAGGGCTGGATTTGTTCTCCAACTTTCGAAGGGTATCTTCAACCAGCGCCTCACAACTTCCAAGTCTTTGGGATTGGACGGCCCGGCTTTAGCAGAAATGGCGTTTTCAATCACGCGGTTTGGATCCATTGGTCCGGTGATCAAAGGGTCCTTGGGAGTGGGCCTATTCTAAAGCACACCTACATGGTAAGACATGGTAAGACCATTCTAGCCGCCAGCCCAATTCTTGTGCTCGTTGTGGACCCACACCTGCATAAGTCAGGTGCCTCCAGGATTCATTTGTAGCTGTGCGGGCAAGTAGCTTTGGGATGTAATTAGGGTGTAAATTCATGAATCAGAGTTCTAGCAGGTAGCCGTAGGATGCAAACCACAGATTTGGACATGTGTTTCTTTTGGTGTGTCGTGAGCGTGCTGGCAACAGGCAACAGGTTTTTGTTGTGGTTCATGTGGCAGCGGATCAAGGAAAGGAACCGTCAGATACCTACTTTGCCTAATATAGTCCCTACTTTGCCTAATGTAGTCTTTAACATATTTGTGTTGTGTCTATGGATTGATGTATATATACATATTATGTTTGGCTTTGTATTTGAGGTTTAAGGGCACTTGATTCTTAGGGATGCATAGGGATGCATACCTACACACACATATATATCTATATATACAATGTCAAGACTTGTGCTGAACCAGAGTAAAATTGTATTCCACAAAAATGTGTGGAACCCAAGCTTTCAATCGCCTTAGTCAATGCCAATTGTTTTTGTGGAAGATTTGGTCCAGTCCTTTGCGTGGCTCCAGCGGCTTCTCACAGACTCACCGACAACACCCTTCAGAGTGATATGAGCAAGGGCCAAAACATTTTACGATGAGTTTTAGAGGTGAACCGCCATTGACTTGTAACACTGTGCAACTACTGCATATATAACATATATAACTATATACTGTGTGTAGCGATAAGGAAACCGGAAGAAGAGTCCAAACCATCAAGTTGCCAGCCTGTTTTGGCACGAAGCCGTTTAGGGATCTTACGAGCAGAATGGCCAGAAAGAGCCAGGTAGCTTGTCCGCTTCTGTTCCATAAGTATGCAAACTCCCAATGATATTTTGACACATCTTTGGACAAACAACACTTGATTTAAGAGTGATACCTCATCCGATACCAAACGATACCTGGAGCGGTCCCAGCCACTTCCCCATGTGTAGAGCCACAACCCGCTAACGCTACTAGCGTTTCCTCATGCCACATAGCAAAGAGCTGGTCGAAGGCCTTCGCAATTTGTTGAAACAGTGGCTTACTTATGCTTGCATTGCATGTAGGAGCTTCTAAGAGGAACCACAAAGAATCCTCAGGTTTGAGAAAGCTTAAGGTTGGCTGGCTGGCTGGCTGGCTGGCTGGCCTGCTGCTGCTGCTGGGTGGTATGCTGCTGCTAGGTGGTTTGCTGCTGCTGGGTGTTGGTTTGCTGCTGCTGGTTGGTGGTTTGCTGCAGCTGCTTGGTGTTCTGCTGCAGCTGCTGGGTGGTCTGCTGCTGCTGCTGGGTGGTCTGCTGCTGCTGCTGGGTGGTCTGCTGCTGCTGCTGGGTGGTCTGCTGGTGGTGGTGGTGCTGCTGCTGCTGCTGCTTCTGCTGGGTGGTATGCTGCTGCGCTGGGTGGTTTGCTGCTGCTGCTGCTGCTGGCGCTGGGTGGTTTGCTGCTGCTGCTGCTGCTGCTGCTCTGGGTCTGCTGCTTTTGCTGCTGCTGCTCCTTTGTGGTTTGCTGCAGCTGCTTGGTGGTAGACTGCAGATGCTTGGTGGTTTGCTGCAGCTGCTTGGTGGTTTGCTGGTGCTGCAGCTGCTTGGTGGTCCGTTGCTGCTGCTGCTGCTGCTTGGTGGTCTGTTGCTTGGTCGTTTGTGCAGCCACACCCTAGCATGCTCCCGGCTAGCTTTCGTTCACCCCCTCTGGCCTCAAGTCATGTTTACCTAAAAGCTATTGTTTCCATGCAAACACACATGTCCAATCTATCACACTAGTGGCTGTTCAGTTTTGTGTCTTTTGTTCACCAGTGTGCCGCTTGTGTCAAACTAAACAGGTTGTGATCCACCACTTCTATCCCAACGTCACCGGCTGCGTGGAAAACTGCCCATACCAATTTCCGCGGCAGAGCTATTGTCATGTTGCTGGTGATGGCCGTGTGCCAGACAGGACGCGCAAGTCTTGTGTATGTCAATGGTGCTGAAGCCTTTCTTGGGACTAGCAACGATGACGAAATGCTTTTCCTGATGCAACCCACTTATCAGAGATATACCCACCCACATATACCAGTATGATCCTGTTTTCTTTGGGATTAAGTACTGCAAGTGGCATCACCACTTAGTGATGCGATCCAATGAATAGCGCAACTCCAAGGGCCTGATTCAGCTGCATATGTTTTACTTCAGCTTTGCACGAATGCTTACTAAACACCCTGCTTCATTCAAAGGCAGATCCCTTCAGGTTGCCCTTGATTGCAGCCTTCCTAGCAGCACTCCAACAAGTCATAAGAATAGCCCGTGAATGTTTCGCGTTTTGTATGTTGTCCGCTTGGAGAACCAGCACCGCACTGATGATCGACACCTTGGTGGAGCATCGTGGTGAGAATCGGCCACTGCAGCTGCGGCAAGATGCGCTCTCTAATCTGATACAGTTGCTGGACAACTTGACTTCAGAGGCCAGGAAAACATGCACTGCAATTTCAGGGGTGGCGGCCAGGTGAGATACAGTCGATACATACATATATATATATATATACTGTACATGTATATGTATATATATATATATATATCATTTGCGTGATTCTGTTCATAAGACGGGTCGCACTAGAATACTGCCCACCTGCTTGGGCCAGTTGGGCAGCAGCTTTGTTTCACACTCTGGCTGGGCTCCTCTCCTGGACGTACTTCAAGAACCATTCCAGTGAGTGGGAGTGTGACGTGAATCTTTATGTTTTGCTTTCATGATTTTCATGTTCTGAGTTCTTTTGTTTTCCTGGTGCTAGGAGGCAGCTGACAGTTTGCTGATGCTGGACCAGAATGGACGTGCTATTCTCCACAAGGCCGCCATGTTCGATGACGTGGAGCTCCTGGAGGCTTCCTGGATGTTTCAGTGCATCGAACACGTCGTGAGAGAAGGTTTTTCACCTGTGCAGACGTAGGGACCGTAGGGATCAAGCAAAACTTATTCTTTCAAATTTTCAATATTGTTCATATAGTGTTTTCCAGGGGAGAAGACCAGGCACAGCAGCACAAGAATAGTATTAGACCTAGAGGGCTCCCCACTGTTCTATGTATACTGTGCTGCAATTGTGAGCAATTCCTGCAGTGCTTGATGTACCAGATTTCTTTGCCAAAATCTGTCGCTCAATCGGTGGGACGGGACTGCCTAAGGGCCTCACAGATAAGGTCCTTTGGCAGTATGGCGGCGCGGGCACTGTCACACTCCAAGCAAGCAGAGACTCTGATGGCTTTACAGCCGTCATGCAGGAGCGGGTCCAATTTTGGTGTTGGTTGAATGGATGAGCACGACGCAGGGTGTACACTAATAACAACCTCGTGTTCATTCGAGATGTTAAGCCATGCACATGGATATGTATGTTTCGGTTTTCCGCTATCAATGCATCCATGGATGTACAGTATACAGAAGGCAATATAGCTATAGTATGGTATAGTAACAGTATTTGATATTTGATATATATATATATACATACAGTTGGACTTGGATGCTGATTGTTGAGAGCCGCTTTTCGTAGGCACTGCTGCTGGAGAACTCTGCCGCGGTGGCATGGCTCATCTCCAAAGGCTCCGGCCTCACAGACTCCGATGCTCAAGTCCTGACCGCTCGCGGAGTGGAGCCTTGGGTCCGAAGAGTGCCGGTGCCGAGCCGTATGGCAGTGGCGGGCGGGTCGGTGGCTGCCAGCCACTATGGCAGGCTTCAAGTTCCATTTGCTTGTGATGTTCATTCGCACGTTCAAATCAGAGGGCATCGATCTAGCGATGTTTGCATCGAGGTACAGGCAGCAGGGGCTCTATGGTCGTCATATGGTTTCATAGGCTTTAATTTCTTGCTTCGGAACAAACATGAGCGAAGGTGTTTCACGGTGACTGATGATCATTCAGATTTTTCCCTGCTTCCAGCCCTTAGAACTTTGCTCTCTCATTCTTTCTCATTGTGCTTCACTGGGCTCCCCAAGTCTCCCCAAGTCTTTTTCGAACACGAACTGATTTGGCCCTTCAGCTTCATCCTTCCCCCGACGCACCCAGAACATCACCTCGGTGCCGTCCATCACGGAGCCCTCCGCACCGCGCTTGGGGCGTGGTAGCTTCGCGTGGACCGGGCCCAGCGGCGAGGACTTCGGAGGGCTACCCAAGGCGGGGGTCCGCGTGGGACGGGGGGGGAGCACGGTCAGTGCAAGAGTTGGAGCTGTTTTTTATGGTTCACGTTATGTTTCTCTTTGCTGAAAAACGTGGGGAGTTTCAATTCATCATCCTGCGGACGGCGTGGTGTTTTGTTTCTTCTTGTGGATCGCGCATTGCATGACTGGTGAATCGCACGAGTTCTTGGCATGGCTAGGACATCCGATCGGATCCAGAATTCAGGGACAGCTTTTTGGGCATTCTGCACCCCGGGCACCGTATACCGTGTGATTGCTGTGGAATATCGGACCAGTGGTCGGAGATGTGATGCCAGGTGAGCCCGATGCCCAATACCACCACTTGGGTGTGGCTTGGCATGTGGGAAGAGACCACCTTGAAAAAGGTCAATCAGTGTGCGAACTGAGCTGGGAGCTGGTAAAGATGACTTGAAGCGTTCGAATAGGGCCTAGTAACATCTATCTTGGTAAGTTGAATCAAGTCGATTTGGACAGCAAGCTGTTTTGCTTTTGCGACCTGAAGCAAAAGGTTTGAAGGTCCACAACTGACGCTTTTTGCGGGGGCTGGAGGGTCATCCAAGGTTTACCACCACGACGGCTCCAAACACCACACTGACGACCACCTGATGCTTTTCACTCGGAGCCTTCACTGGCCTGAGAAGAATACAAAAATGCCACGCTGCCACAGTTCCGCTTCGGTTCCGCTCACTCCGCCGGAACGAGTTGGGCCGTTCACAACCCCGACTTGGATTCAACTAGAGATGGTGAGGGGTGATCCAGTGATATTCAGTGATCCAATGCTCTGTGTCATGCGGCGGGGGCCAACTTTTGTTGCGTTTTTGGCGTGGATCAATTTTGACAGTCTCTCATGTGAAGCCAAGGACTCAAGAACATGTGACACTCATGGGCACGGGGGAGGGAAGGAGTCCTTACTTCAAAGTTTTTTGTGGATTGTGCCCTCATCACTTGGAAGACGCCACCTGTGTGGCAGGGGTGAGAGTTGAGAGGTCTTTACCCTCAGCCAGTCACTGCTGGGTGTGAGACATTGATGCCGCTCGCCAGGGACAGGCCCCGGATGGCTGCGGCAGCCCCGTTGAAAGGGGGCGACCAAGAGCCTTTCCGCGTTTATGCTATGGTTTCATGCCATCATGGTTGATCGCCAACAATCTTTAAAGGGCGGCGAACAGAACAGAACTGTAATAAAGTTTGCCCTGTGCGGTTAGTAGCTGCTTGATGTTCGGCGTTGTTTTCTTGTTGGAGCTGACCGTCGTCCGTGTCCCACTCCAACTCGCGGTCTTTGCCCCGGATGCTGCAAGTGGCAGGAGCAGGAGGAAGAAGAGGCTGATTGCCAGGCACTTGTGCTACGTGTGGCCAGGCGAGGGTGGACGTTGTTCGTGCAGGGCAACGTGAGTGCGCATACGATTTTCGTTTGCAACTTCACCTTGAGACTCGGGCATGTGCAATTGGTACTATATTGGATTCAACGCTATTCAACTTTTAATTGGTCAGTTAATCCTGGTCCTTATATATATATATATGTGTGTGATATAGTTATATATATGTATGTATGTATATAAACACATGTTCATGCAAATGTTAAATGCTACATTTTGTAATGTTGCAGGGTTAGATGTCCGATGGTTTGAGATTTCTACCGGTGCTCTATTGCTGTTTGCGCTCGCCGCACGTTAACGGGTTGGCTTGGTGCCCTCAAGCAATGGCGAGCTGCCAGGTGTCTTTTGGGTAGCAGTTGTGACCAGCTGTTTGCTTTCCATCTCTATTGGGCAATCATTATCCCAATTGAGTATATTACTTTGGATTGTTTGATGATCACCCAACGCCTACTGTGTAGTTTTGTCTTCTCATCCATTCGACTTGGTGTCGCACACGGGAGAACATATATACATCCAAATGAGATGAATTATGCATGTTGCCTCCCATGTGCATTGAAGACGGATATTGCACAAAATATCCTGGTCCGGAAGTGCATTTGTTGTTTAAAGTATAATATGTTTCTCCCTCAATCCAGCCCACAACATGTTTTCTGCATTATTTCAGCTGCATATAATGCTGTATATATTTGCGCAACTAACGATTCTATGAAGATAGTGAGGCGGTGAGGGGTTTTATGGGGACTACCTTAAAAGGACGGAATGCTTTGAGTGTCATTGGGTGCTTCAATACAAATTGATGCTGCAGGCGCCACATGTGGCGAGAACGTAGCAAACGGATGAAGCTGAGGCCGCCTCGGAAATGAAAGATTGTTGCTTTGCAGATGCATGCGTCATTTAGTATATGCTTTGCACTCACCTGGACCTTCAACAACTTTTTTGCTTTTGATTTTGATTGCCTAATAGTTAGTTCTATCAGTTAGGTGACTGTATTTGGTCGAAATTGCATGCAGTTTGGCCGCTTGTTGAGCTTTTGCCCGGAACATGTTTACAACAGCGTACCCTTTTTCCGTGTTGCTTAATTCCAAACCATTTGTGTCGTTTGCCACATGTTTAAGTCTTGAGTGCTTGTCAATTCTTTTCCTCATGGCTTGAAATCTTACTTAGCATCTGTACAGCATACCGATCTCAATGTGAACTTCTTTCTGTTGGCACAAAGATCACAAAGATCACCAGAACTGAACTGACCAGCTGGACGTTGAACTGACTCGCCAAGGCCCACCAGGCCTATCCGGTCAAAGGTGCCGTCAGAATTGTCCCCTGGAGGAACTGGATGGAGTCCGTTCGGGCCGGTTTGGGCACTGGTTGAGCAAGATTTTGTGTGGTGGATTTGACTGGCTTGGGCGAAGCGAAGGAGCTGGGAGTCTTCTTCCCTTCTTGGGGAGTCAGGGAGCTACGGAGCTAAAACGAGCAAAAGGGGCTCTCCAAGAACTTTCCTGATTCGCAAGTTTTGTCTTGTCATGGTATTATATGATCATTCACCTTACAGCCAAAACCCGAAACCCGAAGAAAACCAAAGGTCCTCCAAAATACCAGGGGTTTGCGTTTTTCATCGTTTTTTGGATTTGAGCACGTGCATACTGATGTGGCAATTTCCTGCTTGAGTATCGAGCATACGGGTGTCAGTTCAGAAGATTTGCAATTTTTGGCTCCCAAAAGTCGTTCGACATCTGACCTCCAAACCCTGATTTTTTCACAGGTTTGCACGGGTTTAGCACGGGTAAATCACGGGTTTGAAAAGACGAGGTTTTGTGTTTTTTCAAGGAGATCACGGGTTCAGCACTAAATCACAGGTTCTACCTCACACCATCTCACACCTGAACTTTTCCCGATAAAAGTAAAGTGTCAACAAAACATCGCAATGCAACGAACGAAAAAATCCAACTGGACAACCGCCCAGATTGTTCAGCATGCAAAGAAATTCAATCAACTTTACCTCAGCAGGCAGATTGCGAGAATAAAACCTCGGGTTTCCTGGGAAGCCTGAGGTTTTTCCAATTGTACCACAATACCCGGGGTTTGTCCGCATACCCGAGGAACAGTTAGGGTTTCGGCTGGCAGGGTAAATGATATATTCATACAGCCCCACCGTTGGCAGAACTTGGAGTTTAGCACTCGCTGGGAGAGGCTTTTGCTGGGGTGCGCCCCGCAAGCATCTGGTCGTTTTGGTCGTTTGCGTCTCAGACCTACTTCACCGAAGTTCTACAGCCCACTTCACCTGTCATGGTGAGGTTTGCGCTGGCCAAAATGGAGGACGAAGCGAGCCTGGAGACCGAGAGAGTCGACGCGAAGCTCGTGGTGCCAGACCGGGAGAGCCGCTCGTGGAGAGCGGTGTCCTGACTGAGTTGCTGAGGTTTGCTGGTGAAGGGCATTGAGAAGTGCCTGACTCAGCTGTTTCCACTCAGAAAGGGAAACTTACAAACTGAGACATGTGCGATGGTTTGCGTTTGTTTGCGGTTGGGATGATCTTTGCTCGGAAGATCTCGGAAGCATGTTGGATTCTGGAAAGTCCTCCAATGCTGACACTCCCCCAAGCTACAGTGGTAGTAATACATGGGGGATATTTGTAGATTATTTTTTGTCAGTGAATTTATTCTGCTAGTTTGGTGTGTCTTGGTGCCATGGGGTATTTTAATGGTGCCAGCCTGGCTGCATAAAATAAGTCGCTTTGGAAATGCTTGCAAAGTGGTTGAAAAGATCTTCCTCATTGATTCGCTGACTCTGAAGAACATGGAGCAGCACTCGCAGACTCACTGCCGCCCTCGCAGACTTATCACCAGTGGCGTTGTTGCATTCTTTCCTTCCTTGCAGTTTGGCAATTTCACCTCCGAAAAACACCGTGCAAGGCGACAAAGCGAACTTGCTGCTGCGATCAAGCAACAGCAGGAGTGCGTGTTGCTGTGGATGTGTTTTCTTGATGCTGCTTAGGATTTTTCCACCATCATGGGTGAAGCCTCTCTTTGGAGAATATTTTACGTGCTTTCCCGGTCCGAACAAGAAATCACCGTTTTGTTAGGTGTAGGACTCCCTCATGCTCTCTCAATGGCTTGCTTCTCCATGTTTGTGGTTTGACCCACCGTTTGCCCCTCCCATGCACCTTCGTACACCAACATCAACTCCGTCAGAGAGTTGCCCGATGTTTGATTGAGAAGGTGAAGAAGGTTCTTGTATCAATTGTTTTGGGGTGGGGGGAGTTTTGCGATCTTTTGCGCACCTCCCAATGTATTGCACTGACACTATAATAAATATACAGTAAATACTGTAAATAATACATACTGTAATAATTTATATATATATATACACATGTGATATATATATAATATATTTATATGCTCATTCATTCACTTGAACCGAACTGGACACTCCAGAGCTTCTTGGACCTCTCCGTGTCACACATGCCACCGGTGGCACAGGAGGTTCGTGGAGAGATTGCAGTGTTTGGAGCTATGCGTCGAGATGGGTCGTGATGTTGCGACACCGGGCGTGTGCAAAATTATAGGTTGATTGCTCCAAACTGCAACTGATGTATTTTCTTGGCAGTTTCAGGGGACGTGTATCAATTTGTTGGCCAACTAATTGTGACATAATGTTTTTGTTCTGTAGTAGTACAGTTTCTTTTCTCCGGAGATGGGAAGTCGGGAAATGGCCGCTGTGGTTTTTGACTGCTACAAGAAGCGCTGGCAAAACTTTGGGTACAATCAAGGTTTGATTTATACAATGGTGTCAAGAGTCTCATGGGACCCCAATTGGCAGCCCACATGGCCCACAGAACATGATCCGAAGCCTTGCGACAAGCTTCGTTCCGTCCACAGCCCGCACCAACACTTCGACGGGCGACCGTGGCCCGGAGCGGTCCCGATCCGGGCGGACCGTCGTTCGAAGAGCCCAGGTGGAACAAACGAGTCACAGACCTGGAGATGCAACACGTTCAGGCTGGGCAAGAATCGAGGGGTATGTTCTGGGACCTCCCTTGAAGAAACCACTCAACTCTCAAACTCAAGTTTCGTGATGAGCGTGTCAGGTTCCTACATAATACCCCTGCCGCAGGCACTGTAGCCCCCTTCCGAGTTAAGATCAAGCTCGGAGCCATTTGGAGCCAGTCAAGGGTTCCTTTCGTTGCTGTTGATTCATCGATCTGATGGTCGGCGGGACGGAACAGCCCCAATTAGCTGTAAAAGTTTAGGAATAGTGCTTGTAAAACGTCCCTCAAGAAAGCCAACATTGAGTAGAATGATTTGTGGAAGGTTCGAGGCTTCCAAGTTTATTTTGATACTATATAATTAACTCAAAAAGGAGGAAGAGACAGACAAGTTCTTCCTCCCTTTGGCTGCGAGAGTGCCATCCAGGCACGGGCCGTGGACGAGCACCGTGGGAACCTGTCCACACAGGTGGGGTCGACGAGATTGGTGAAGTCGGCTACACTTGGAGGCTGCATTTTGCTGAATGCGTAGCGAAGGGTTGTGTTTTTCCCGAAAGCATTGCGAAGGGTTCTTCCGGAAAATCCTTTGAACACTGACACTTCGACACTTACACTTCGACACTCACACTGACACACACACACACACACACTGGAAGAGCGAAAGCATCGAAGTGCGAAGTATGCCAGTGTCAAAGTATGCAAGTGTAAGTATGCAAGCATGATATGCAAGGGTGAGTATGCAAGCATGCAATGACTATGCAAGCATGCAATGACTAGGCAAGTGTGAGTATGGAAAACTAGCACGGGAGATGTCCTAATGAAAAAA